TTAACTAACTGTTAAACAGGGAACCAGATGAATCATGAGTTGACTGAGTTTTCTGTTGCAATTTTTTATTGCACTTTTTTTAGAATAGAAAGGGACGATTCGGCCTTGACATATATTACAATCGATTGTTCTATATGTACCTAATTGTTTACATACATACATATGATGTCGTGAGATATGATTAGATCGGAATTTCTACAACTAAATAAAAAAACTTTCCCCCTCTTTTTAACACATGATCTGTGTGTAAACAATTACGTAACTCCTTATATATATATTTTCAGCATCTAAACATTGTTCGATGTATCTCTTTAAAGGTGACCAAGCGATGCGACACGGACGAGGGTCAGTGGAGCAATTGGAATTGGCGAACAGACGGAGACGTAATGGTAAATGGTGCATTCTTTGTGCCTTCAGGTGGAGGGTTCAGCACCCAGTATGCGAAGGCCTCCAGTGTTGAGCCCAAATCCTCCGTCCTCATTGACCGTCTAACGATAAACGCCGGTGTCCTTGGTGGGCCAAGGTACACACTCACCTATTTGCTTTTACTTTATTTGCCTTTACAACTGAAAAATATCAGTCACTTTAACTGTCTGAAAATATCTTTTGCTTTTATATACCTGGGTTTTGATAAACGAACAGGGGCCCTGTGTAGAGGGAGCCGCCTCTGTCACCATAGTAAAACCCTTTTCTACCTTTACAAAATTCTAAATTTTAGCCCTTGTTTGAGCCCTATTTTTTGAAAAAAGCATTACGCGTAAATCTAAAATTTTTCATAATTTTTGAACCACACATTTCAAATCAATTCACTATTAAAAATTCATTATTCTCCCAAAATGGAGCTCAAACGAGGCTTTAATTTTAATTTTTGCAAAATAATAATGATAATAATTTTTACAATTGGTCCTTAACATATTGTAGCAACTCAGCACTTCATGACCCGGTCACCTAGCTGCATCGGATATATCATTTTTTAGCCAATTATTAAAAGAAAAACGGTTGGAAATAGTAAATATTCGAGGCAGAAATGGGGTCCATTGATTCACGTGATCCTGCGCGCTTTAAGCATCTGCTGACCAATAGCATTACAGTATTGAGTTGTCCTAATTGACTATTGGGTTACCAAGAAGTACTTTTGTATTGTGAACAGGTCAGCATATTCCTCTTAGTGGACCTAGTTCTGTGTTACCAGATAAAGAGCAATTATTTTAAGCCACCCGAACTAAAATTAAAATATTTGATTCGCCATAGCTTAGCGGTGAACAAAAAAGTAGAATACTGAAAAAAGAAATGATTTTTGGACTCGAGTCTTTATCAAGAACAATACTCATGGGTACAAGGATTCGTGTAATCAACCTCGATCATCATCAAAGTAAAGAGATGCATGAAATTATGTTTGAGCCATGTCCAAAGGTTTGTTTGCCCGAGGATAATCCCACATAGCATGTGTTTTCTTAAAGTGTGAATGTGAGGAGGTTAGATTCTCTGCTTCATGCTTTACAGTCCATGAAAGTGGGACCTTCTTTGAGAAATTGAAGATGTGGACCCCTACGTTTATTTTTGGGATATGCTGGACAACTAGCTCTGTACTGGAAAAATGACTTTTCATTGTGGACCACACATTCTTTTTTTAATGCTTAATTACCACTCAAAACCCAAAATAATTACACATAATTAAAGAGATTGACCCTATAAGCTGACATTGATAATATAATGTCCCGTTGTTGTTAGCAAGTTGATAAAAGTTTTGATCTAGATCCAGCCGGGACCCACTTTGTTATATTGGATTCCTATTCGTTCATAGACTATCGAAATCGACAAGGTGTTCCTGTTTATTAACATGTGAGGGCCGGTGGGTGGAGAGTGGAGTGGGACCACGTGAGGTGAGGGTTCATTTTTCTTTCCAACGTCTCTCTGTTAGTGCCTAGACTTGTACAATGAAAACAAGGTTTTTTCTGTAGCATATCATGACAGTGGGGTAGAGTGGAGGTGGGGTATTTTTAAATATGGTTGACTATGAATCTCACTTGATAATGTCATATTTGATGAGTGTCTCCAACAGAACTATTTCATCACTCTTTAAGGTTCTTCAATTTATGATTTGTTAAACAGTGTCTTGCTCATATAGGGTGTACTTATGGGTGCAGGGACAATAGTTTTATCATGCACGGTAGCAGCACCACCACCACTGGCGGAAGCAGTAACGGTGGCGGAGATGGTGACTTTTTTGGAATGATGTTCGGAAGCGGTGGAGCCTCAACACAATTATCTCCATCCACCACCCTCTTTTTCTCTCTTCTAATTTTGTACCTTACCACCAAACATGGTGGTTTACTATAACTCCCATCATTATTTATATAAAATTGAAAGGAAAAGGTTGAACTTTCATATTTGTTGTAGGCTGGAGGGCCCAGAATTGTACATAGGCTCCAACAACCTCGAAGTAATATTAAATGTAAATTTTCCACTTGGAAAATAACCTTCTACTTTAGCGCGATCCTTCAAACAAGACAAACGACGAACACTGATAAGAAATTTTTGTGCCAAAATGTGCATACGTCAAAAGTATGAGCACCTTAAAGATCTCTAGAAGTGCAGAATAATTCTAGTACCGGTCAAAGGAAGAAGGTCGTCCTCGCCTAGGGCGGTCATAAGGACCTGCTCTATCCCTATAGTTTCTTCCTTCATAACGTGCAGGCCCTCCTCCGCCTCCATCTCTATTGTAGCCTCTATCTTTGCCATTTCCAATGGGATAACGATCAGAGTTCCCATACTGATCATATCTATCGCCAGCAGAAGGGTACCTGCTTATAAATGAGAAATTATAATTAAAAAATCATTTAAATTTTTTCCACAATTATGAAAAATAATATATAGACTTGCGCTGTTACCAGCAACAGTTTCCTGGTAATAGCTCATAGACTACAGATTCCAGAAAGCGTGTTTTTAGCTAAGCTCAAGTAAAATTGGGTACAAGTAAATGTTTAGTTTAAAAATGTGATTCTTGTATTGGTCGGTGATGGAACAAAGTTGGTAAAATTACTTTTAAAGTAAACAACACTTTTTTTACTTTAATCCCGACGATTGGAAAAGAACGACAAAAAAAAGTCTATGTATATATATATCTCTATATATATATATTAAATAATCTCAGCAAAATATCTATTCCTTTTAGGTAAATGGGGAAGTGCTGACAGAAGATGACGATGAAATAAATAATATCTAAAAGTACCTGTCGTTAACATACCGATCACGGCTCCCATATCGACCTTCATACCGATCGCTATCACCATAACGACCTCTGTCATATCTATCGTCCATGTATCTGTCACGATCAACTGCATAGCGATCCCCACGACTACCAGCCCTACTATACCTACAACGCGGAGGTGAGAATGGTCGAGCACCACCACCTGCCAATGGACAATCTCGGGCCCAGTGACCTGTTCGACCACATTTGAAGCAATCATCCGGACCCGATGACCGGTCTCCACCATAGCTGACCCTTCCCCTTCCCCTTCCCCTTCCCCTGCCACCTGAAGAATAACATCCATAGCCGTGTTCCGGATCTTCATCCCCTGATTTAGGCTGGGCCTTGTTCACAGAAATGACTCGATCGCCAAACTCCCTACCGTGCATATCCTTTATCGCATCTTCCACTGCTCGTCTATCTGCAAAGGTCAAAAATCCAAATCCACGAGGACGGCCTGTATCTCTTTCCAGCATAACCTACATGAACATTACACTTGAGAGCCTCAAAACCACTGATGACATCCCATTCAACAAAATGAATTTTCAATATTCAGAAAACATGACTAGGATAAAAATCCAGCAGACTATAGAATTTAAACCACAAAGGAATGAATACTATTAGAGGTGTCAATGCATGCCATGGATTTTACCTTTCGAGCTAACCAAGCATCAATTTTGTCAAATTCATTCCGAATTTTAGTTAAATATAGCTGTAAATATCTAACGACGGAAAATCTGGAAGAGACATAATATGAATGATTAAATTCAACCTTCGGGCACAAACATCTTTTCTCCATTTCAAATCAAACAATGACAGGCCAATGGAGGTTATCTAATCTAGGCCACGATCATGGTTTTTTTCCGAGAGAAATGGCAAGTTGTTGACAATAAGTTTACACTAACTGTTGAAGCAAAACACTGCTGTGCAGCAAAGCAGCTAATGCCCACGCATCCCCTCAGGTTGTAGCACACCATACAAGTTATGGATAGCTTGCCATCATGAGCTCAGGACAAATTTTAACGTGCCAAAATATAGCTAAAACCAAAGTGGGCAACCAAGACACCTCATACAACCAAACCTGTTTTGAAAAATCTAAGAAACAATGACAACCTCATCCTATGAATAGAAGCTAGACATGAAAAATAAGGTAAGTTGCACAAGTAAAAAAAAAAAAAAAAAGGGGCATGGAAAAACTAATAACACGTGCAGAACAAGTTACATTAACCACAATTTATTTTTACCCCTGCACTGCACGTGTAATTATATACAAAATAAACGAAGTACAAAAGATTTGCATGAGTAAGATACAGCAGAGAAGAAACTAGCATATGAGTTCATTTTTTAAAAAAGGAAGGAAAAAAAGTGAATGGATGCATTCAGTCAGTCATTCGGTTCTTGATTTAATTAAAAATGGAAGAAGATGAAGGTTTGAGTACACATTGAACAAGCTTCATATAGGAATAAAACAAGGACAATAACATGCTCAATGACAAAGAACTCTTACATGAGTAGAAGAATCTGAACTGCAGATTTCCATCATCTGACTTTTTAAATTTTACACAGGCCTCAAATTCCACAGAACTGAATCTATAGTACAACCGCACAAATAGATTCCTAACTTACTGGAAAAGTTCTAAATATGGCCACTTGACCAGATTCCCATGATTGTAAATTTGTAATTCTTCCAAATTACTTAAAAATCTTGCTGTAAACCACTATACTTCGAGCAACAGTAGACACCAGAAAAAAAAACACGGCAAATATTAAGCGGTTGAACATGCAGTCATATCAAAAAACCATGTGAAGACATGTATTTCTCCAAGAATTATCCAAGACAAACTTGCACCAATGCAATGAATTTGTGGAACAAGCTATGTAGTATGTAGTATGCTAACTCAATTTGCATAATTGCACCGAGCATAACCACTTGGTCTCATTACTGACACCAGTATTTTGTTGAATGTTAGACAAGAAAGCACCATTTCTCAACCAGATACATGATCACCTTACGACAATCTACTCCAGCTGGTTTTTCAACTCTGCAAACTGGATGATTATTTGTACAATTTGAACTGTTCAACTGGAAGCTACATGAACATAATTGGCAGCAAAAAAGCCCATCTCGAACTAAGATGCTAACTCACATCAATCGCTACTTAATATAATCATCCTAAAAGTCACAGGTATGTGATTTCCTCATACTAAATAGCGAAATTATGGATACTTCAAATTTTGTGTTTAACCGAAACAGGATAAGCATTCCCACCGAAGAAGCTTTTTCACAAAAACTGTTTCTTTTGTAACAGCTACTCCCAACAACAGTTCAAAATAGGTTCAATAAAAAGAACGAAAGTAGTATGGAAAAGTGAGTTCTAAAAATTGTTATGTAGTGTGGAACGTGAAACACGGTGAAACATAATTCTGCTTCAAATCCCCACCATCTTCACCACTTGGTCATCTGTCAGAAAGACTTCATGCACTCAACCAGAAAGAATACTGAACATACTCGTTGACCAAATATGAGGATATACGCAACTTACAGCTTCTGCCAAAATTGAACCTGCAGAAGTGACTGTCATCGAAAATCTTGTTTGGAACAAAAGATCCTCTATAAACTGGATACTCACAAAAGTTAATACTCAATCAAATTTCCTGGACAAAATTCTCCAAGTCACATCTAGCATTGCCTTTTAATTATATGTACACATCTGAGCTATTATGCAGCTAGAAACAAAGCAACTGATGGAGGTGACAGAAGCTTCATGAATATCAGTCATTCAAAATCGGGAAGACACAGCAGATAACTTTCAGAAACTGACTAAAACTAGATGTGTCAATGTATCTGAGTGCTGAGTATGTTCTCCACTGCACTTGCATCTTTAGACAAAATCTGAACTCTGCGGATTCAAAAATGGAAAACACCCAAGGGCCAAAAAACCTAAAAATGAAACTGATTCACGAAACTCAGGTAGCCACCTTATGCAGCTATTGATAGTAAGTGGTACAGGTCCAATCAACAAATCATAATATAACATCCTTGAAGACTTTGACAAGTTATTAGAAGAAATAAGTCAATTTTAGTAAAACCTTCGGACATCGTAAAAGGGAGAAGCATGTCGTGATAGCTCAACATCTTTAAACTAAGAACTTTTTCCCCAAAACTACAGAAAAAAAGGCATACTCAAATTAAATGACACAAATCTGAATCAAATAAGTTTTCCACAGAATCAGAAATGAACCCTATACGGTGCCAAAATCCAGGACACCGATAAGAATTAAAAAACTTCACAATTATCCAACGGTCTCGGAGTACCCATCATCATCTAAACCAAAAACCTCATTTCAAGTAAATTATACACTATCATCCATAAGAATAAATAGTCACCGACTAACTTTCTCGGTGGGAATTAAATAGTGTTACACGTTAATACAGTGTTTTCCAAACAAACAGCAGCTATGCTTAACCCAGCAAAAAACTCAAGCATATCCCCACTAAAACTGGAAACATCCAGTAAAACATCTGTACATGAATGTTTCCATAAACTCATCAGAAACAACTGTGCGAATGAAATCCAAGTAACACAAGCTGCCATGCGCTTCAGCAACTTAACATATTCCAATGCAACCAAAAGATCGCATATATAGCAAACCTTAGGCTATCTTAAAGATATATTGCAAATCCTGCAACAAAGCTTCAACTACTGTCTCCCTTTTGAGAATCTATAAGCTTCAGAATAATTTCTGTAGGAATTAGTTCAATAGAAAGAGTTTGATAACCAACAGGGCAGTAATGACACCGAAGAATGGGAGCAAGGGAAGAAATGTTCTTAGTATATGCAGGACCTGGAGCCCCAGAATTTGTATGCAAGATGACCACAACCAAGGTCTCTCATGTTAGAAGGTTGCACATTATTGTCATGCCAGACTAAAGATGTCGATCGATCCAAATGATTGAGAGTAAGACTGACAAAAGATTGTGTTCGGGCCCATCTTTTGCTCCGAAAAGATCAACTGCTTTACCTCATACTATCACCATAAAACTATTAGTTGAGCACATCAAGAACTCTTTAATTAAGTTAATCCTTGAGTTCACGGAATTCTCAGCATTTCTCAGGGATCTTACCACCCGGAACCACTTATTCTGTTGAATATCTCATCAGTACAGCCCCGCATTCAGCAAAAGAAAAAAGCCTCATAACCAACATAAAAGAAGAAAAAAGGGAGGTTAATATAATGGTGAAGAAAAAATTAAAGATGACTGAAATAAAAGTTCACATATTCTTCAAAAATTTTGCAGAACACGTTTACCATTCACAAAAATATATTAATGTTTCATATTATAGCATAATCAGAGAGAAACAATAATAATCAACACAAACCGCTACATATTCTGAGTGTTTGGATGCTATGAAAAGGTAAAGGTGAGTTAACTATTTCATCTCATGAATCCACTAAACCAAATACCCACCTTAATTAACTAATTAAAAAAACCAGAACACAGAACCCATTCAGAGAGTTATATGAACCATGTGTTCCAAGTTATTCATCCACATTAGTAAACCTCTTTCTCTGATGTCACGAGCCTCTTAAAATTTAATGCCCATTGGATGAATTCAAAGACTTCTCCCATATGTACTTTCATCATCAAAATCATCTTTTCCTGCCCCATCCGGGTTTATTGAAAACAGTAATTTCTTTCAAAACTTTTTAAGAAAATTTAAGGAGTGATTGCGCTGTCGATTCTTTCTTGCACTCTCGAATTATCGACGAACTCAAATGACCCTTCAATTTCTATCAACAGATTCAACGGAAAGTCCGTCAAAACATATATGATAGTTCAACAGAGCATTGACCCACGGAAAATATTTGAAATCAGGAAAAAATAATTATAACCAGTCCAGAGTACTCAATTTCAATATATTTCCCAGGCAAATATAAATTAAACAGAAATCCTCGCAGATAATTATTCTTAGGAATTCGAGGGATAATTTCGAGGATGACTGTAGAATGACAAGAAATCCGAACCTGGGAGTCGATAATTTTTCCGAAACGCCTAAAAGCATCTTCCAGCTGACGCTCAGTGATGTCCCGCGATAAACCACCCACAAATATACGCTTGTCCTGCTCCTTCCCTGCCATCTCTCTCCCTATCTTTCTCCAAAACCCTGAGTCCAACAAGAAGAATAAAAATTAAACCAAAAATACGGAAAACTTATAAAAGTTAAACCCTGGTGACTATGTCAATATTGATACACCCGAGGCATTTATTCCCGAGGACTCAATACATACCCCCACCTCATTTCTCTTCTTCAGTCCTCGAGGTCATCTAAGTCCTCGAGATACCTCGAGGACACTTTTACATTCCCTCAATGTCCTCGAGAAATAGTCCTCGAGACATACACCACCAACATACCCCCTAAGACCTGAGTACCTAACTAACAAACCTAAACACCCAAGGATTCTACATCAACCCTAACACCACTTGTCAAACAATTCCATTACAAGTAGGACATTCTTTATAATAGAAATTCCCTTGGATAAAAACATCCAACCAACACAATCCTACTAGGAGTACACTACCTACTCCTATAAAAGCAGAACCTTGGGCCATTATTCAGGTACGTTTT